GAAAAATTGATAAATGGATGATTTGAGTCTTCACAAAATACAAGCATTGATTATAACCACTTTAAAATTTCCCTTGGGTATGATATTGCAAAGCAATTTCTAAAAATTACTTTATTTACTAGCACATTTCCTTTTGTTTCACAATGAATGCATTTTTGCCCTGAAGCCCTAATCCTTCTCTGCTATTATGAAACCCAGTCTGGTTCCTGAGCAATCCATCTATGCTGCAGCAGAAGTTCATTAAATCCAGTGAGACTGAGCCTTCTTTTTATTATCAATGCATCAGTGAAAAGTGACATGATAGTGATTTACTGATGCTACATGTAGCACCTTCACCAAAAACGTGTCCATAAAGTGAAGAGTACCTTGGCCTAAGTATCTCGGGCTCCACTTTGTAGAAGGTGTTTTTCCTTTATTGGACAGCACAGTGCACGGTGAAAGACATGGGAAAAATTCAACGCTCAGTAGGTTATGGCTCAATAAATATATATATATATATAGATGGAAAGAATTTAACTCCACAATGTCTGTCTTCTGTCTTTATCCAATTCTTTGTCTATCCCTATCAAAACTTTGGCCAGTCAAGATACAGAGAATGGCATGTTTTTTTTCTACTCAATATGTTTGGTAGTGTGTGGCAAATCACTCAAGGGCTTAAATAAATAGCTGAATAGATTTATTTAGTTTACATCAAAGATTATGAAATATGAACTAAGGACCACAGGCTGCAAAATGAATCACACATTCCTTTTGTTGTTTATATAAACAGTGCATGTCACAAAAATATAAACAAAAAGAAGTATCACTGCTCTGTTTGCAAGATATTAAATTTTAAGTAGAATGACACAGAAAATCATTTACAGTCACAAACTGTACAACAGTTGGCAGAAGAGAGGTGCAAGGCATTTAAAGCAAGAGCATGAAAGAGGGGATTATATTTAGCTTATGTACAAATCTCTCGAGTAAAAATTAAGGTGATGTAGTTTACTTTTTCCAATGTAGAACAGATTATTGAAGGTTACACTTTTATCATGTTTGGATTACAAGAAACATTCATTGATGCCTGGGGGTGGTGGGGGTTAATTGAAACACTTGATAACAAAAAGCAGAGTGAAGAGGTGAAGAGTGGGACAAAAGGGAGAATAAGGAAAGAGTAAGAAGAACCGAGGAGATGCAGAGAGAATTAGAAAAGGGCAGAGCAAGAGTGCAAAGAGGGAGAAAGATAAGAGGAACTGAAAGATTTGGAAACATGCAAATGAGATTTTAGTTGTTTTTACTCATCAAGCTCTTCAGACTTCTGTCTATGGCCTCATCTAGCTCCTCCTCCAGCTCCTCTTTTTTAGACATGGCCAGTTTGGACTGATAATCACGCACTATCTGGTCTATATAAGGGGCACTTTGTGTTCCATGCAGCATGACAGTCCATTCCTTCAGGACTCCGCGCTGTGGCTCATCACCCTGAAAGCCCACCTCCAGGACCCAGGTCCCCCGGGGGTCCTCGCCCCAGGTGTGAGTGGTCATGAAGGGCCACTTGTCAAAGCCCACCTTGGAGTCGTTGTCTCGGGGCCTTCGGCTCAGCAGGATGGACTTTGTGCCCATGGGAGAGGTCATGTTGATGTTGAGATCACCACGGCGGCTGGCGTTGACAGTGACCACTGCCTGAACGTGCTCCAGATAACGGACGAAGTTGTCCTTCCCTTGGCAGGCATCAGTAGTGATGGCCAAGACCAGCTTATTGCCAGACTGGATTTTACTGGAGAATTAAGGAAAAGCAGTTTGAACATGACTGTGTGGCATAAGAAAAGTAAAAAAAAAAAAATCAATGTTAAAAATGAACCAAAGATAAAGAGTCAAATGAAATAAAACAGAATATGGAGAGTACATTTTTTAAATACTGAAAACAGCAAACAAACAAACATATAAATAAATAAAGCCAACTGTCACATGTGAGAAGCAGGGAAATGCAAACATTTGATTCTTTTGCTTGAAATTCACTCATATTGCCATAAGCAAAATTCTAAACAATGTGTAATAATGTCTCGCTGAGACCGATTTATACAGTACAACTGTGCTCTAGGGTAATGTTATCTACAGTATGTACCAAGGGCCTTTGTCAGTAAACTATGTGTAGAATACTGTCGTATACTGAGCCAGCCCTTAATTCAAGCTTTTTCTAAGGAATACTGTCGTATACTGAGCCAGCCCTGAATTCAAGCTGTGTGAAGAGATTCTTTTATTCTTTATTGCCACAGTGGATTTATTCAGTGTAAAAGCAACCTGGTCTTGATATTGCTGCTGCTTTGTGGATGGGAAGACAAACTGCTGTTCTCATATTTTTGGATGATAAGAAGCAAGTGTGAGAACACAGCAGGGCAGATGTGGTGACCATAGGCTATGAGGAGGCTTACACTAACAATATTATTAGTAACTGCATCATAGGCGGAGGGAAGTGTGTGTGCATGGCAGGACGAAAGACATGGAACAGCACGCGGTTTGAAAAGTGATTAATAGAACACTATGCTAAGCACAGAGAGGTGAGTGCAACGATGAGCCGCTAAGGCCTGATGAAACAAATTACTTTTCCCAGAAAAACAGAACAATTCACTGCAGGATGTTTCACTCTAAGTTACACCCTAAACTCATGACAAGAAATTTGACATAATCAAACTATATTATAAGTGTGTTACGTGTAAAAAAAAAGAAAATGTGAAGAGAAAACTTTCAAATCATTTTACCAATTTGCAATTTACTACTAACTTTCTTTTATTCTCCATCTTCATTATCATTAAAAGCATCATTACTGTTGTCGAACTATTATCATTAGTTCATTAGAATGTATAACTGTGCTTGTAACTAAACTTGAGAGTCAATATGTGTAGACTTGAGTTTCAGCTGTGGGGAGCAGGTGAACAGTTCCCATCAGATAATGTGCAAGAGTAATTACAACAGTCGGTCACAGAGCAGGAAGAGCGATCCCTCTGAAGGGCAGCACCGGTGGAGATTAAAAACAACCCCCCTTGCACAGTGGAGCACTGAGCGCCAGCTCCACTGATAATGAGAAGCTCTCCTCCAGCAAAGCAAGCTGCAGCCAGCCATAGCAGCTATCAGATCAGTGCTGTGCAGGGTGTTTGTGAGCCTGGCTGTGCTGGTGTTTATTGTTTTTTTTTTCTCATGAAACACTATCATCAGAGGTGGGCTTGTTGTAATTATATCTCTACCACAATAGAGGCAACAGAAGCCCTGTGGCGCTGCTGTGGAAACAGTGAGCTGATGAAAAATATGACACAGCCAGTGACACAGCTCTTACCACACAAATCAAAAACAGCTTGAAAAAGAGAAGCTATTTCTTCTTCTTAAACACTACCTTAATGAGCAGTTATTATTTCAGGTACAGCATTTGTGGTTACTCCATGTCTGAGTAAAACAATAACATCACTTTATGCAATGGAACTCTAAATGATAAGGGAATGTCTAAAGTCACAAACATCTTCTCATAGGAGGCCAGGGCCCCGCCACCATTTGCATGTGATGATCTTAAGGGAGCACTAAAAGCCATTTAACTCTTAGGGGATGCTCCGTTT